ATATCACTATGTCCCCAACTGTGTATATACTTGTTATATCACTATGGCGCCAACTGTGTATATACTTGGTATATCACTATGTCCCCAAGTGTGTCTATACTTGGTATATCACTATGTCCCCAACTGTGTCTATACTTGGTATATCACTATGTCCCCAACTGTGTCCATACTTGGTTTGTCACCATCTATGACAAAATAACCACTCAACGTTCACCCGCAAATTTACAACATAGAGTTCTTGATTAACATAACTTATCTTTTCTATATGGCAATAAGAAGCTATTTGCACTTGAACTCGGATAGCTATGCTGTAAGGCAGTCTTTAGTTTGGAATTGCTCACTAAGACATGAATAAGAATGAATTACTTCTCGCTGACATCAAGCATATAGATTGTTGATTGTGAGCAGGAGGCATCCTATTTGTACTAGACTCTGGGGACATTCAATGTGAAATCAATTGTCTCTAAATCAAGACTGATACTCTGAGGAGGATGCATGCTATTGATTACTAGGTCAACGTCCAAGGCCAAAGTCATAATAGTGGCAGACAAGAAAATTTGTGCTGAGTCCACGTGGTGACTGCAATATAGCTTTCTCATTATATGTTAAAACAGTTATGTAGGCAAAGTGGCATAGAAAACACATCCTTGCGCTGTGTTATAGGTTTGATAGTAAATAACGGAAGATAAAAATAATCTTCTCCCTACCTTGAGGGTATAACAGAGAAATCTCCTACCCGAGGGGTGATGAGGCTCTGCCGAGGGTTAGACAACCAAAAAAACATCACTCTGAGGGTTGGAGATTTCTCTGTCACACCCTCAAGGCAGGGGATGATAAATTTTGTCCCATCCTATTATTTTAGTCACAACTCCACCAACAGTAGTCTGCCATGTTTGTAAACAAAAACACATGTGGGGTATGAATATCGTCATTCACTTTCGATGAAGTCACAATTACCGGTGACACATTTTTGTGTCGCCTGCAAAGCGAGGCGACATATAGGTATTACTTTGTCGGCGTTGTCGGTTGCGTCGTCTGAAACAAGGTTTCCGCACGATAACTTGAGTTCCCTTAGGTTGATTGAACTCAGACTTGGTACACATATTGCATACCAATATATCTCGGACAAGTTCGCATTCAGAAGTTTATGTGCATTTTTGTGGAGTTATGCCCCTTTTATTGCCGAATAAGGGCATTGTGTAGTAAATGCAAGAACTTTTTTTTATTTTTTAATCAATTCCTTTCAAATTTTTGAACGGTTATAATAGAAGCAATAATGTTTAACATATATTACGGGGTTTTCTGTCGAGTTTCAACTTTCCGCATTTTGGCATATCTGTTTACGTGATAATTCAAGCCAAAACACTTTTTTTACTAAAAGCGCTGAGCAGGGCTGTCGTGGAATTCTTAGTATGACATTACAATTTAATAATCGGCACAAGGCTATCTCCCCCTAGGGGGTGACAAGCTGATCTTTACCAGCTAAAACGGGAGACACACCTGTGAAGGGTGGGAGAAAAGTAAGTCATTCACAGGTGATAGCTCCGATAGTGATTAACAGGTAATAATCTGTCAGTAATTAACAGGTGATGAGCCTGATATTTGTTAACAGGAGATAAGTAATTCTCTCCCATTAGACAGCAATTACCACACTTCCAGTCAAGGAAAGATATTTCTTTCTTTCTCTATGCATAAAATAGAACCATACCAAACTACATTTGAATATGAGTGTCAAATATGTTTAATACAAGGAAAGCTGCTGTCACTGTCTGATAACTTATATTCATATTTTCACTTTAATCTTAATTTGAATGTGTTTCTTGTGCTTCTCCAACAATAAAATGGCCAGAATGACTACTCAATCAATAAGTTATAGATGAATATAAATTTTCTTAAAAAGAAAATCAGACTCATTATCCAGTAGGCCTGTGTTCTATCCAGACCCCGAACAATTCCACTGTTTTAAAGATGATCATCAATCTGAAAGAAACCTGTTATACATAGCTTTTGCCAATTGAGATTATCCCAGACACACATAAGTACACAGGTATGTGGTCTTTTACATGCGTGTGCGGCAAATAGCCAACCTACTCCGATGTAAGAAGGTGTAGAATAGACACTTCCAGATTTGCTGGTGCATTCAACAAGGCATCTGGCATATAACAAGTGTGCTAGATCTAGTAGGTGCTTATAGCACTGGATTGTGTTCAGTAATTTTCAAGGTGAAAAGGTCAAACAATGATGTGGAAAATGATGAAAATGGATTTTTTATTTGGCTTGTAGAAACAAACTCCATGCACTAACAAGATAGCACTTTCATTGTTGATAAAATAAATAACTTGACAGCTTGTAATTGGGTAAGATGGGTCAAAGGTACCAGAACATGGCAAGAACGGGACTTTAATTGGAAAGGAATCAATCTAGGTAAAAATCTGCCTCCGTAAAGATTTCAAAAAATATGGAAGGGGAAATGTACCATGCTGTTAAATCTAAACACACTCCCTAATACTTTCCTTACAAATCTAAACACACTCCCTAATACTATCCTTACAAATCTAAACACACGTCCTAATACTATCCTTACAAATCTAAACACACGTCCTAATACATAATCCTTACAAATCTAAACACACGTCCTAATACTATCCTTACAAATCTAAACACACTCCCTAATACATAATCCTTACAAATCTAAACACACTCCCTAATACTATCCTTAAAAATCTAAACACACTCCCTAATACTATCCTTACAAATCTGAACACACTCCCTAATACTATCCTTACAAATCTAAACACACTCCCTAATACATAATCCTTACAAATCTTAACACACTCCCTAATACTATACTTACAAATCTAAACACACTCCCTAATACTTTCCTTACAAATCTAAACACACTCCCTAATACTATACTTACAAATCTAAACACACTCCCTAATACTTTCCTTACAAATCTAAACACACTCCCTAATACTTTCCTTACAAATCTAAACACACTCCCTAATACTATACTTACAAATCTAAACACACTCCCTAATACTTTCCTTACAAATCTAAACACACTCCCTAATACTTTCCTTACAAATCTAAACACACTCCCTAATACTATACTTACAAATCTAAACACACTCCCTAATACTTTCCTTACAAATCTAAACACACTCCCTAATACTTTCCTTACAAATCTAAACACACTCCCTAATACTATCCTTACAAATCTAAACACACTCCCTAATACTATACTTACAAATCTAAACACACGTCCTAATACTTAATACTTACAAATCTAGACACACTCCCTAATACTATACTTACAAATCTAGACACACTCCCTAATACTATCCTTACAAATCTAAACACACGTCCTAATACTATACTTACAAATCTAGACACACTCCCTAATACATAATCCTTACAAATCTAAACACACACGTCCTAATACATAATCCTTACAAATCTAAACACACTCCCTAATGCTATCCTTACGAATCTTCCAAAAGGGACTTTAGAAGGATAGAGCTCCAATCAATGAAAACAGAGAGATATGTATGATATAACCCATACTTATATATTTAGAACTGTTAGGGGTCAGTAAGGGTTGCAGAGGTGTTCAGAGGAAATAGTGATATGCTGCGGTGATTTACAAGTGTTATATAGTTACAAAAGATTTACATATTCTAAGGGGGAAAGAGTCATGGATTCAAATCAAAGTAAAGTGTAGGAGGACAGAAAACTGGAAAAAGAACGGGAAATGTATCCTATACCTGGTACAGAGGAGACATTGAAGATATGTGTACAGTGGTCGCACATTATAAAATATTGATATACATTTACATTTCTGTTGAACCGACTCTTGAACCAACCAACTCTAAATGTCATAATTAGACTAGAGCATGCGCAGTTCTTGGAGTACTTGTTGACCTATTGTGTTGTGACTTCTAATTCAGAATTTGAAAACACAACTTAAATGTTTACCATTATTACAGTTTGTTTAAAGTATATATATCATAAACAAAAAGGAAAAGGAAAGAGACTTTTCTCGGTTGGTTTTTAACATAAATCTAAGATTGAATACATGATGACTTAACACTTATGAGACAAAGCTGCCTCAAATATTTTCCTTCAAGATGCACTTCTGTACATCATACAGCTTCTTTTTTTTCAATGACTGAATTCGTCTAATCTTAAAAGGTTTTGAAAAAAGTCTGTAAGTTTTCATTTAAGTGAGACTTTGTCAAGTTTAAAAGAATACGTGTTGAAGATAAATTTCATACATCTTACGATGACATTTTTAGCCCACCATCATCTGATGGTGGGCTATTCAAATAACCCTGCATCCGTGGTCCGTCCGCCGTCCGTCGTCCGTCCTTAAACAATTCTTGTTATCGCTATTTCTCAAGAAGTACCAGAGGGATCTTTCTCAAATTTTATATGTAGTTTCCCCTTGGTCCTTAGCTCTGCAGGGCAATTTTAGAGACTGATCGGATAAACAACATGGCCGACAGGCAGCCATCTTGGATTTTGATAGTGAAAAATTGTTATCGCTATTTCTCTGGAAGTACGGGAGGGATCTTTCTCAAATTTTAAATGTAGGTTCCACTTGATCTCTCTTTGTGCATGTTATATTTTGAGACTGATCATCAAAAAAAAATGGATTAAAAGAAGAACTAAACAGATCTTTCTCATATTGCAATGATCGATTCTATTTCTTTCACATTAAGTACTGTACTAGTAAATATGTGAAATGACAAACTCACTTTGAAGGTTGGCTTTCATACGTATCAGTATTAAGTTTAGATCAAAAGTTACCTCAAGGTGCATTTACTGTTAACATAACTCGATCAAACAGATTAGAGGAAAGAAGAGAAAAGATCGAACCGACATTAAGAACTAATGAAGATGGTACAAAGGTGGTCGCCAAGATCCCTCTGGGATCTCTTGTTATAAGAATAAAGAACTGGCACCATTTTCATAAATGATTCTGTTGACTTTTCCAGATTGCAGGTTTAACTGCCACAAGAAGTGTGCACAGTATGTGCCTAAGGACTGTACAGGAGAGATGCTACAGTATGAAGGGGGTAAGTCAGTACACACAGACTATTCACTCTAACGATACAGGTCTTATAAAGCCTGTCACATTCAGTATAAGGTAAATACAATCAATAGTCAAACATGGATGTACCTGTTAACAGAGGAGTCACACACATTAACGATCTAGCCCCAGGATCACTACTTCTTTTTTTTTTTTATTTCAATCCAAATTTAAATGTTGACTATATAAAATTTCATAACCATTTTAAAATATAGTTCTAGGTATGTGTACATAGTTTTCTAACAATATTAACGCTCATTCAAAAATTTTGGTTTTGTTTTTGAAGTTTGAAATTTGGACTTTAAACTGTGATAACTATAGTAGCGCTAATAATGAGGGCCTACATGGGATAGTGTTTTTTTACCTGGGATGACTTATAATGTGTGATGTGTTTTTCAGCCCCTGAGCCAAGCGAGATGGGGGACACAAACAGCACTATTGATACAGATAACACAGATGCCCTATCATTTTCATATGAGGAGGGATCTCCGCCAGAGGAGGAAGAGGAATCAGACCCAAAACCTCCCCTCAGGTAATTTGTGTAACTCTCGGGTAACTCGATCCCCTCAGGTAATTTGTGTAACTCTCAGGTAATTAGTGTAACTCTCAGGTAACTCCCCACAGGTAATTGTGTAATTCTCAGGTAACTCCCCACAGGTAATTTGTGTAACTCTCAGGTAACTCCCCTCAGGTAATAAGTGTAACTCTCAGGTAACTCCCCTCAGGTAATTAGTGTAACTCTCGGGTACCTCCCCTCAGGTAATTAGTGTAACTCAAGTACATCCCCTCAGGTAATTAGTGTAACTCAAGTACATCCCCTCAGGTAATTTGTGTAACTCTCAGGTACCTCCCCTCAGATAATTGTGTAACTCTAAAGTAAGTGTAACTCAAATCTCATCTTAGGTTATGATTAATTATTAGTGTAACTCTTAAGTAAGTGTAACTCAAACCTGCTCTCAGGTTATTAGTGTAACTTGCAGGTAATCAGTGTAACTCTTATGTAAGTTTAACTCAAACCTCTTAGATAATTAGTATAACTCTAAAGCAAGTGTAATTCAAACCTCCTCTCAGGTAATTAGTGTAACTCTCAGGTAAGTTTAACTCAAAACTCTTAGATAATTAGAATAACTCTAAAGCAAGTTTAATTCAAACCGCCTCTCAGGTAATTAGCGTAACTCTCAGGTAATTAGTGTAGCTCTCAGGTAAGTTTAACTCAAAGCTCCTCTCAGGTAATTAGCGTAACTCTCAGGTAATTAGTGCCCCCCAGGTAAGTTTAACTCAAACATCCTCTCAGGTAATTTGTGTAACTCTCAGGGAAGTTTAACTCAAACCTCTTAGATAATTAGTATAACTCAGGTAAGTTTAACTCAAAGCTCCTCTCAGGTAATTAGTATAACTCTAAGGTAAGTGTAACTCAAACCTGCTCTCAGGTTATTAGTGTAACTTGCAGGTAATCAGTGTAACTCTTATGTAAGTTTAACTCAAAACTCTTAGATAATTAGAATAACTCTAAAGCAAGTGTAATTCAACCCTCCTCTCAGGTTATTATTATAACTCTAAAGTAAATGTAACTCAAATCTCCTCTCAGATAATTGTTGTAACTCTCTGGTAAGGGTAACTCAAACCTCCCCTCAGGTAATTAGTGTACCTCTCAGGTAAGTTTAACTCAAACATCCTCTCAGGTAATTTGTGTAACTCTCAGGGAAGTTTAACTCAAACATCCTCTCAGGTAATTAGCGTAACTCTCAGGTAATTAGTATAACTCAGGTAAGTTTAACTCAAAACTCTTAGATAATTAGAATAACTCTAAAGCAAGTTTAATTCAAACCGCCTCTCAGGTTATTATTATAACTCTAAAGTAAATGTAACTCAAATCTCATCTTAGGTTATGATTAATTATTAGTGTAACTCTTAAGTAAGTGTAACTCAAATCTCATCTTAGGTTATGATTAATTATTAGTGTAACTCTTAAGTAAGTGTAACTCAAACCTCCTCTCAGGTTATTAGTATAACTCTAAAGTAAATGTAACTCAAACCTCCTCTCAGATAATTGTTGTAACTCTCTGGTAAGTGTAACTCAAACCTCCTCTCATTCAGTTAGTGTAATTCTTAGGTACCTTAGGTTTAACTTAGACACCTCCTCTCAGGTAATTAGTGTAACTCACAGGTAAGTGTAACTCAAACCTCCTCTCAGGTAATTAGTGTAACTCTCAGGTAAGTTTAACTCAAACCTCCTCTCATGTAACTAGTATAACTCTTATGTAAGTTTAACTCAAACCTCTTCTCATGTAACTAGTTTAACTCAGGTAAGTGTAATTCAAACCTCCTCTCAGGTAATTAGTGTAACTCAGGTAAGTTTAACTCAAACCTCCTCTCAGGTAACTAGTGCAACACATGTTTCTTTCAGATAATAAGTGCTTCTAAAACCTTTCATGTTTCTCTCAGATATTAAGTGCTACTAAAACATTTCTGGTGAGTGAACCTGGGTTATCAGTTGAGTTGTCTTTTGTGGGCAAAGAATTGAAGTAAGGGGCAAGGTACATGTAGTGATACTGGAAGGGATGGTGACTGGTAACGTAGTGATACTGGAAGGGATGGTGACTGGTAACACCAGGTAGTTAGTTCAGGTGGGTTTAGAATTGAAAGTCTTAGGATGGAACCATGTTATAGCCCTGTATCATTCCCTCCTCTTTCCTTCTCCACTCCAACCTTCCCCCCTCCACTTCTGTACAATTATAACCCATTATCTGATGCTCTATGAGAAGAGGAGGGAAGGGGCAGGTATGTTGTAATCACTTTGTCTGTCTGTTCGCTTGACTGTATGTCTGTCTATCTAATGACACATCAGTTTTCTGTTTCCGGACTGTTAGTGGAGTTATTTTACCGCTACATTCATCCAGATCACCACCAATAGAATGGAGGCTATCTTGTAATTTCGGGGTGAAAAGATCAAAGTTTGTGATCACAGTGACCTGTTTTCTCCTAGGACATTGAAACTTTAAAGGTTAACTTACCCATAAGGTAAGGAGGATTCCTTTAGATTATGTGGTCAAATACTGAAAAGTCTTAGTGACAAAGTCCAAAGTCTAAAATTTCTCTGTTAGAATATTGTTCCCTTTGGTATATCCTGTCACCTCATAAGATGACTACAAATGATGTGAGAAGAACCTATAAGTTCAGGATGGTAAAGTCAAAGGTCAATGCCACAGTGATTTGTTGTGCAAAAACTGATTCTACCTAAGATACTCAAGTACTTTTCCACCTTGTACCTTGACTATTTATTTCTTTGATATGACAACCCCCTGGGGGAGGGATCAAAAAAGGAAGAGAACTCATATTATTGAAGTTATAAGGGCTCCCTATCTGTCTGTCTGTCTGTCTGTCCGACAATTTTTTTTGTTCCTGGCTGATAACTTTGGTATTTATTGACCGATGTACATGAAACATGGTCAAGATGTTCAGTTCACAAAAATACACATTGAGGTAAAAGGTCAAGGTCACTAGGTTCAAAGGTCAAGGTCAAATTTTGCATCTATTCACTGATGAACATTTTGTTATGACATGATGAAGCAAAGTTGATCAGAATTTAAAAAGGAGTCAACTGACTTAAGGTCAAGGTCATGTGGTCAATGTCAAGGTCAATTATTGTAATTTTTTACTGATGATCTTTTTTTATGTTATTATGTAGCAAAGTTGTTCAGAACTTAACACAGAGTCAACTGACCTTAGGTCCAGGTTACGGGGTCCAAAGGGTCAAGATCAAGTTTTGTATTTTTCACTGATGAACATTTTGTTATGATATTATGAAAAAGTTGGTCGGAATTAAAGAATTAGTCAACTGACCAAAGATCAGGGTCACTTGGTAAATGGTCAAGGTCATTTGGGTCCAAAGATCAAAGACAAAGTGGATCTCTGACTTTGACCCTGGCTCTTGATGGAGGAGGAATATAAGGTGAAATAAAACAAATCAAAGCTAACAAATGAGTATTGCACCGGTATTTACATTTCTGTTAGTCAAACAAATATGGAGGTGGAAGGAAACAAGACTCACATCATAGTACATGCAAAATGTATATTTTGCTTCCTTGCGATTCTTTTTGAAGTCCAAATGTCAAACATCAAGCTCAGCTTTATGGGCAGATTGCTTCTTGATGATTATAGGGGATATATTGCCACAAGACGAGGCCTTTACTGACCTGTCAGTGTTCTAGTTTATACAGTGGTGTACCTTTCTAGTTCTGAGAGGGATGGCCTAAAATATCCAACTATTATCCTGGTCTGAATAAGACATTGTTGCACTTTACTCAAACAGCTATTTTTTTGCTGGAGATCAGAAATCAATTTTTCCGGTATACTGATGACTGTTTATTGGCAATAATCACATTTGCTCAATCTTAAAATAGTACTTTATTGTATCAGTGTCTTTTTGTTTCAGCCCAACTGGTAGTAACATTCCACTGCAGAGGATCGTGCAATCAATTAAACACACAAAGAGGACTGGGTCCAAGATCATCAAGGATGGCTGGATGGTCCACTACACAGACAGAAACCCACAGGTACTGTCACATTTCAATAAACCCACAGAAACCCACATGTATTGTCACACTTCACTACACAGACAGAAACCCACAGATATTGTCACACTTCACTACATTTACAGAAACCAACAGGAACTGTCACACTTCACTAGATTGACAGAAAACCACAGGTATCGTCACACTTCACTAGATTGACAGAAACCCACAGGTACTGTCACACTTCACTAGATTGACAGAAACCCACAGGGACTGTCACACTTCACTACACAGACAAAAACCCACAGGTACAGGACTACCAGACGTTAAGGTAGACTAATTATGCACAGACTGTAGTGGACATCAACATATGATGTGACTACCAGACGTTAAGGTAGACTAATGCAGACTGTAGTGGACATCAACCATATGATGTGACTACCAGACGTTAGGGTAGACTAATGCACAGACTGTAGTGGACATCAACATATGATGTGACTACCAGACATTAAGGTAGACTAATGCACAGACTGTAGTGGACATCAACCATATGATGTGACTACCAGACGTTAAGGTAGACTAATGCACAGACTGTAGTGGACATCAACCATATGATGTGACTACCAGACGTTAAGGTAGACTAATGCACAGACTGTAGTGGACATCAACCATATGATGTGACTACCAGACGTTAAGGTAGACTAATGCACAGACTGTAGTGGACATCAACCATATGATGTGACTACCAGACGTTAAGGTAGACTAATGCACAGACTGTAGTGGACATCAACCATATGATGTGACTACCAGACGTTAAGGTAGACTAATGCACAGACTGTAGTGGACATCAACCATATGATGTGACTACCAGACGTTAAGGTAGACTAATGCACAGACTGTAGTGGACATCAACCATATGATGTGACTACCAGACGTTAAGGTAGACTAATGCACAGACTGTAGTGGACATCAACCATATGATGTGACTACCAGACGTTAAGGTAGACTAATGCACAGACTGTAGTGGACATCAACCATATGATGTGACTACCAGACGTTAAGGTAGACTAATGCACAGACTGTAGTGGACATCAACCATATGATGTGACTACCAGACGTTAAGGTAGACTAATGCACAGACTGTAGTGGACATCAACCATATGATGTGACTACCAGACGTTAAGGTAGACTAATGCACAGACTGTAGTGGACATCAACCATATGATGTGACTACCAGACGTTAAGGTAGACTAATGCACAGACTGTAGTGGACATCAACCATATGATGTGACTACCAGACGTTAAGGTAGACTAATGCACAGACTGTAGTGGACATCAACCATATGATGTGACTACCAGACGTTAAGGTAGACTAATGCACAGACTGTAGTGGACATCAACCATATGATGTGACTACCAGACGTTAAGGTAGACTAATGCACAGACTGTAGTGGACATCAACCATATGATGTGACTACCAGACGTTAAGGTAGACTAATGCACAGACTGTAGTGGACATCAACCATATGATGTGACTACCAGACGTTAAGGTAGACTAATGCACAGACTGTAGTGGACATCAACCATATGATGTGACTACCAGACGTTAAGGTAGACTAATGCACAGACTGTAGTGGACATCAACCATATGATGTGACTACCAGACGTTAAGGTAGACTAATGCACAGACTGTAGTGGACATCAACCATATGATGTGACTACCAGACGTTAAGGTAGACTAATGCACAGACTGTAGTGGACATCAACCATATGATGTGACTACCAGACGTTAAGGTAGACTAATGCACAGACTGTAGTGGACATCAACCATATGATGTGACTACCAGACGTTAAGGTAGACTAATGCACAGACTGTAGTGGACATCAACCATATGATGTGACTACCAGACGTTAAGGTAGACTAATGCACAGACTGTAGTGGACATCAACCATATGATGTGACTACCAGACGTTAAGGTAGACTAATGCACAGACTGTAGTGGACATCAACCATATGATGTGACTACCAGACGTTAAGGTAGACTAATGCACAGACTGTAGTGGACATCAACCATATGATGTGACTACCAGACGTTAAGGTAGACTAATGCACAGACTGTAGTGGACATCAACCATATGATGTGACTACCAGACGTTAAGGTAGACTAATGCACAGACTGTAGTGGACATCAACCATATGATGTGACTACCAGACGTTAAGGTAGACTAATGCACAGACTGTAGTGGACATCAACCATATGATGTGACTACCAGACGTTAAGGTAGACTAATGCACAGACTGTAGTGGACATCAACCATATGATGTGACTACCAGACGTTAAGGTAGACTAATGCACAGACTGTAGTGGACATCAACCATATGATGTGACTACCAGACGTTAAGGTAGACTAATGCACAGACTGTAGTGGACATCAACCATATGATGTGACTACCAGTCGTTAAGGTAGACTGTTCGCTGTCATGTACTTGTCAGACATTGGACTCCAGACATTGCCCAGGGGCATTATCATAGTACTGGTCAGTGGTTAGGCATGAATGGCCACTGATTATTACTGTCTGGAAAGGATGCCCCGAGGGCCTCAGCAATCATCATAGCCTATCATCAGTGCATGTTGAAGCTATCATGGATTTTATTAAGTACTGATCATTCTGTTGAGTACAACCTAATACATTATTATTTTGACTCATTCAGATTTGTTGGAAAAGGGTAAACTTACTAAGTATAATGTATATGGTATCACATGGTATCCCCCTCTACAGGAAGAGGGATAAGTATCACAACCACAATCAGGAAGTTGTCCACTTTCCACAGTCTACAACTACATTTTTAAAACCAGGACCTTCCTATCTCCCTGGAATCCACTTAAATCAGGAAACTATCTCACAATTGTGTCCAAACTCTCTACACATGTCCCCAGTGTCACTGTGCCCCAACTCTCTACACATGTCCCCAGTGTCACTGTGTCCCAACTCTCTACACATGTTCCCAGTATCACTGTGTCCCAACTCTCTACACATGTCCCCAGTGTCACTGTGTCCCAACTCTCTACACATGTTCCAAGTATCACTGTGTCCCAACTCTCTACACATGTCCCCAGTATCACTGTGTCCCAACTCTCTACATACATGTCCCCAGTGTCACTATGTCCCTACTCTAAATATACATGCCCCCAGTGTAATGTGTAAGTCCCTACTCTATATATCCATGCCCCCAGTGTAATGTGTAAGTCCATACTTCCGACATACATGCCCCAGTGTAATGTGTAAGTCCCTACTCTATAAATACATGCCCCCAGTGTAATGTGTAAGTCTCTACTCTATATATACATGCCCCCAGTGTAATTTTTAAGTCCATACTCCCGACATACATGCCCCAGTGTGATGCGTAAGTCCCTACTCTATATATACATGCCCCCAGTTTAATGTTTAAGTCCATACTCTATATATACATGCCCCAGTGGAATGTGTAAGTCCCTACTCTATATATACATGCCCCCAGTGTAATGTGTAAGTCCATACTCCCGACATACATGCCCCAGTGTAATGTGTAAGTCCCTACTCTATATATACATGCCCCCAGTTTAATGTGTAAGTCCATACTCTATATATACATGCCCCAGTGTAATGTGTAAGTCCCTACTCTATATATACATGCCCCCAGTGTAATTTGTAAGTCCATACTCTATATATACATGCCCCCAGTGTAATGTGTAAGTCCATACTCCCTACATACATGCCCCCAGTGTAATATATAAGTCCCTACTCTATATATACATGTCACCAGTGCAATATGTATAAGCTATATAGTTCTGTACGGATGATCATAATCAAAGACGGATATATATTTGTTAGCCTGTAGGTTTTAGTCCCAGTTTATTTTTTAAAAGTTGATGCTATCTTTATTATCTATAAATTTTATAATGTTAGGCGTTTAAAAATGACGGGGGAAAATCTGAGCAGGTGGTTACTTATTTCTCAAATCATGTAACAAGACTTCAGCACATGTAAAAAAAAAATGAACTTTCATGGATGATATCATTTTCCATAAACAAGGCATAAATGTCAAAGGGTCATGTGACCTGAAGTCACTTCCATAGCACACAAAACCAGATGTTCTTTGTTTTTCTTGTGCAATTAAAAACTTAATTTTCTGATTAAAGTAGGTAAATAGGTCACTATGATAGCCAGTTATATTTAACAACTCAAACAAAGATTGATTATTAAATTCGCTGCTTGATTGGGATACATATAGGATTGCTCTGGAGCTCGGACATTTAAAAGCTCATTGTTGCTATATAAAAGTAGAAGTAACTTAAATCTACAGGTAAGAAATTTCTGTTTACTGTGTGGAGTCATATTGTAAAATTGCAGGGATCAAATTTGTTTAGACTAACCGGTACACTGATCTTTCTGTCAGACAGAACTCTCTATATCCGAGGACTATATAGTACTGTACTATAGGCATTTTTAAACATTCTAAACACTTATCAGAACTGTTCAATCCAACAAGTTATTCCCAACATTATGTTTGCTACCACTAGGTATAAACAACATTATGTTTGCTACCACTAGGTATAAACAACATATGTTTGCTACCACTAGGTATAAACAACATATGTTTGCTACCACTAGGTATAAACAACATTATGTTTGCTACCACTAGGTATAAACAACATATGTTTGCTACCACTAGGTATAAACAACATTATGTTTGCTACCACTAGGTATAAACAACATTATGTTTGCTACCACTAGGTATAAACAACATATGTTTGCTACCACTAGGTATAAACAACATTATGTTTGCTACCACTAGGTATAAACAACATATGTTTGCTACCACTAGGTATAAACAACATTATGTTTGCTACCACTAGGTATAAACAACATATGTTTGCTACCACTAGGTATAAACAACATTATGTTTGCTACCACTAGGTATAAACAACATATGTTTGCTACCACTAGGTATAAACAACAATATGTTTGCTACCACTAGGTATAAACAACATTATGTTTGCTACCACTAGGTATAAACAACATATGTTTGCTACCACTAGGTATAAACAACATTATGTTTGCTACCACTAGGTATAAACAACATATGTTTGCTACCACTAGGTATAAACAACATTATGTTTGCTACCACTAGGTATAAACAACATATGTTTGCTACCACTAGGTATAAACAACATTATGTTTGCTACCACTAGGTATAAACAACATATGTTTGCTACCACTAGGTATAAACAACATTATGTTTGCTACCACTAGGTATAAACAACATATGTTTGCTACCACTAGGTATAAACAACATTATGTTTGCTACCACTAGGTATAAACAACATATGTTTGCTACCACTAGGTATAAACAACATTATGTTTGCTACCACTAGGTATAAACAACATATGTTTGCTACCACTAGGTATAAACAACATTATGTTTGCTACCACTAGGTATAAACAACATATGTTTGCTACCACTAGGTATAAACAACATTATGTTTGCTACCACTAGGTATAAACAACATATGTTTGCTACCACTAGGTATAAACAACATATGTTTGCTACCACTAGGTATAAGCAACATTATATTTGCTACCACTAGGTATAAACAACATTATGTTTGCTACCACTAGGTATAAACAACACATGTTTGCTACCACTAGGTATAAACAACATATGTTTGCTAACACTAGGTACAAACAACATTTGTTTACTTTAGAAACTACCAGTAGAACCAGGAATGTTATTTTGTCATGCTTTATAATTTCAGTGGATCTCTTATATAAGAAACATTTAGTCTCAAAAACAAACTTACTCTCTGCTGTAATAAAGAAATTCAGAGTTATTGTAAAGGCTAAAAATGTTAGAAAGAAGAAGAAAAATATGAATTAGTAAAGATTTTGAGACTGATATTCAAGTATAACCAATTTTAGTAAGGAACTCCAGAGTTATTAACAACTTTCACATCTATTATGTTTTCAGTGCATTTCAAAACCTGATCAGTATGTGTTGAGATTAATGTTGTTGATGACAATCATACTTGTTTATCTGATTAATGTGATAATCTTATTTATTTTACAGAGGAAAAGACATTATTGGAAGTTGGACTCCAAGTCAATAACACTGTACCAATCAGAAAATACCAGTAAATACTACAAGGTACTGTACAATTTTAGAATTTTGGAAAATCAAACCTTTATCTATCTTCATTCTTCAGTTGTTAGCTCACCATATTCAGATGGTCGGCTGTTCAAAATGCCCTTTCGTCCGTGGTTTGTCTGCCATCATCTTAAACAATTCTTGTTAACGCTTTTTCTCAGAAAGTGCTGGAGGAATCTTTCTCAAATTACACATAAAGTTTCCCAATGGTCCTTAGATACACATATCAAATTTTAGTTTTAGTATTACAGCATAGTGTCATAACTGAAGTTTTAATAGTAATGTTAATTATATTATATACATTTTACCTACATTTAGTGGGGAAAGTATTACAATATACAGTAGTTACTGTAGTATGACCAGTAATGTTAATTACATTATATACATCATACCTACATTTAGTGGGGAAAGTATTACAATATACAGTAGTTACTGTAGTAGGACCAGTAATGTTAATTACATTATATACATTATACCTACATTTAGTGGGGAAAGTATTACAATATACAGTAGTTACTGTAGTAGGACCAGTAATGTTAATTACATTATACTTTGTCATTTGCCTGATTCCAGGAAATAGCACTAGCAGACATATTATGCATAGAGCAGACTAAGGTGAAACAGCTTGTGGACATGTCCAAGGCTCCTAATGTGTTTGAGATCCGACTCCAGTCCGCAACCTATTTTGTTGGGGAGGATCCAACCTTCAACGGTCGGGAGGGTAACATTGTCGTGTCCTCCGAGAGTGGCAGTGGACTAGAGCAGGCCCGGTACTGGGAACACGCCATTCGTCAGGCCCTAATGCCTGTCACTCCAACAACTAGCGTGGTGGGGGGTAAGTCTGACCTTTTCGTAGTTAGAATTAGAATTTTTTATTTAGAGATATCATATCGGAATGGATACAGTATCAATGACGCATGGACTCTTACTTATATGGCGTCAATATACAGTAACTGCATGTTGTAAATATACGTTCAAGTAAGAAATGTGTGCTGCAGTTTAATTTTTGCCTAATCCCCCTCCAGATTGAGGGCAAATTAATCATGACAGAAAATATTAGAACACAATATACCATAGATCTAAACTAATCAAATTTCGATGTTACAAGTGAAGTGCAAATGTTTGGCCGGGAAAAACTTAACCAAAACAGTATACTATATAGATATATATTTATCTGTAAGGATACATAATACAATGTTAATTTAGTATTAATCTCAAACATTTGATAGTATTTTGTGTATTTATTTGATGGAACACATTGAAATGACCTCTTTATCTCTTATATTACAGAGAAACCAGGACAGCATGGCTCAGGCACTGATGAACAACAGGTAAGCATACTGGCAATCAACAGGTACACATA